TTTCTGCTCATCCTAAGGATCTCCTTTATAAATAACTCTACACTCAACCTTGGTAAGTTCTCCCGTACTTACAACCCTCATGATAAAAATACCCTCCCACCGCAGTCTATAACAGAAATATAATTTTCTGGTTTTAACATTATCAAGCATTCCGTGGTATTTTTACTACAACAGCAGATAGTCTGATGTGGATACTTATTACCCTCAAGGTCTTTTTCTAGAGGGTTGTGCCAAACTAATCTCTTTACGTGTGCATTATTTGGGTTTGCTCTGCGCATATGGTATTCTAATAATCTCAATGGACTGTTTTTGTAGGAGTTGCCTTTCAAATGCTATCATATCACTTCAACCTCTCTTCTTCCTCTCCATGAAAAATACTAAACCAAGCACAACAGAATTTGGCTTACATCCTCAGTTCTTTCCTACGAGTCATCAAGGAAGACACTGGACAAAGAAGACCCCTCCAGCCGAAGCCGGTTTGGCTCAGTGGATAGAGCATCAGGCTGTGGACTGAAGGGTCCTGGGTTTGATTCTGGTCAAGGGCATGTACCTTGGTTGCGGCACATCCCCATTGGGGGGTGTGAGGGAGGCAGCTGATAGATGATTCTCTCTCATCGATGTTTCTAATTCTCTATCCCTCTCTCTTCCTCTCTGTAAAAAATCAATAAAATATATATTTTTTTTAAAAAGAAGAAGACCCCTCTACCCCACGCCATCCTTAGGAATTTTCTCCATGGGCATTGCATATAATTTGCCTCTGAATCTGAATTCTTTTGTGTCTAGATTCTCTGAGTATCTTTGTTTCCAAGGTTCAATCGCATTGTGGCATGTATCGGCACTTCATTCCTTTTTATGGCTGAAGAGCCAATTATACCATATACCACATTTTGTTCATCCATTATCCGTTGATGGGCATGTGGGCTATTCTTGCTTTTTTATGGTTATAAATAACTCCGCTATATACTTTTCTGGTGGCCTTCAAACTAAGTGGAGATATATCTGAGACTTTTCAGAGTGAGGAGGGCGGGCTGCTGTGACAGCAAAGAACAGTTGTTATGGCTCAATTGTCATGTTCCAGGCACCAATCAGGTCCAAAACCTAGATATTTTCAGTAGACGGAGAGACTGTAAATCTCTAGGTCAGCAGTTGGCAAACTACAACCCATGAGCCAAGCCCAGCCAGCTGCCTGGTTTTTTTTTAAAACCTGCCAGCTAGGAGTCATTTTTACAGTCTTAAATGGCTGCATTTTAAATAGTTATATAAGTACCTATATAAAACATCTTCAAGTTGTGTCTTGGCTCATGAAGCCTGAAGTATTTACTTCCAGGTCCTTTGAGAAAAAGTCTGTGGACCCCCCTGCTCTAGATGACACTCATGCCCATTAAATTCTGTGAAGACCAGTGAATAAAGCACAGCACTGTGACCATCACTAGAGATATCCAGCAGTCAGAGATCACCCAACCCAGGATGCCGAGTCACCCAGGAAGTGCCGCAGAAGGCTGGTGAGTACACAGAATCAAAATAGAAAAAGCACACGAGGGACAGGGATGGTGAGTTATGTCACCCAAACTCCGGGAAGGGAACATGTCACCAGCAACTGGGTAGCTTGTGTCTCCCTAACCAGCAGAGTGTTCGAGTTAGCACTTTACTTAACACATTTTGCTTTACTGAACCCATCCTCCCCCATCCTCATCCTTTTCCTGCTTCTTCTGACCAATTCTTCTTTCGCCTGCGGTGTCAACAGCAAATCCTTATTCACTTAGGCTTGGCGTGCTGCTGCCTCTTCCTATCATGAGTTGATTAAGTCACACAAAGCTTATAGCCCGAGGAGTACATCATTATTGCTGCTTGCAAGGTAATATTATACCAATATTATACCGACCAACAGGTAATTACGGTATTCCATGTTTCTTATCCTGCTTAAATGCAGAACACAATGCTTGTTTCTTAGCCAATCAAAATGTTTTCTCTAGTCCCCAGAGATTCTCGAAGTAATGACAGTTGACTGTGAGGACACCCCAGACCTTCAGTTCCATCCCAAGATTCATCATGCCCACCGGATCATAATACTCCCATTTTTCTGAAGAGTCAGAATTACTGATTCCTATTGTTGGACCTTCATAGCCTTCAGTAAAAGGATCTCGTCTGTTTGCATGTGATGAGTTCTATGAAGATGAGAGAGAAGACAGTTTCTGCACTTCCTCAGACTTCTCTCAATCTTTCCTTCTGTTACACGGACGGTTTCCGTCGGGGCTCCTTTTTATCTCAAGCAAAGGTAGATGTGGAGTTAGATCTGGGGGCACAATACTTTTCGTTCTTGACTGTCACTCATAACTTCTTTCTAGTATTAATCTTTCTATTGTTGTTCTTACTCAATTTCCCTACTTTATTTTATTTTATTTTATTTTATTTTATTTTATTTTATTTTATTTTTATTCACAAAGGAAGGGAGAGGGAGAGAGAGAAACATCAACAAAGAGAGAAAATCATTGATTAGGCTGCCTCCTGCATGCCCCACACTAGAAATGGAGTCCGCAACCTGGGCATGTTCCCTGACCGGGAATCAAACCGTGACTGCCTGGTTCATAGGTCAACACTCAACCACTGAGCCACGCCGACCGGGCTCAATTTTGCTATTTTAGTATCCTAAGAGTCCTGCCAAACAGTTATAACTTTCCCATTAGCTCTCCAGTTCTCAGCAGAGTTCTGGTCTCAGCAAAAAATAGTCCCGTTTCCTTTCCTGGCCCTCCTATATGGCTATTTGCAAGTTCCTGGGCCTTTTTATTGAACGACCGCCAACTGTGAAAGGTGGGGAGGGGCTGAACAGAGAACTCCATTTTTGTGATCACGTGTTAGTCTAAATTATTTCACAGCTTCCAACTATAGAGAAATTACATTGAAACAGGATGGGTGAGAAATTTATGATAAGAAACGTATCTACACATCCTTCTAAAAAAATAACCTCATCTTTCAGAAGACAGTTGAATAAAACTTCGAGAGATCAAAATATATACATAACACACAGTGGGAATTTTTCTCCCAATAAAAAGTCATAAGTAACAAACCAAAGCCACAGTGTAGCCAGTGATTCTCAGGCCACCTTTCCCCATGCCTTCATGTAGCTATAAACTCTCCCCTTTATCCGTTTGATCATTAGCTTTCAAAAGCTCTCCCCATCACATTCTAATTTTGGAGAGCTTCTAAAAAATATGTGATCTATAAAAGACCACAAGGAAATAAGAAGTGCCTCTTTTTTTGTTTTTTAAATTAAGATTAGAAAAGCACCAACCACACAGAACAGGGATAGTAACAAAGCACTGAAGTCAAAGGGTCTTTGGAAATAAGATGGATACATCTATTGCTTGGCAGATGCCTTGGGAGTTGTCTTGGCTGAAGGGCAAGGAGATGAGCTACATGATTTCTCCATCCCTCCCTCTCTGAAATCCCCAGGGCTCCCTTCCAGAGTGGATCCGTTGGCTGAGTGTCATCCTGTGCATCGAAAGGTTGCCAGTTCTATTCCCGGTAAGGGCACACAGAGCATTGTGGGTCCAATCCCTGGCCAGGGTATGTTCGGAGGGCAACCAATCAATGTTTCTCTCTCACATTGATATTCTCTCTCTCTCTCTCTCTCTCTCTCCCCTCCTTCCTCTTTCTAAGTATGCCCTCAAGTGAGGATTAAAAAATAATATTAAAGCCGGACAGTATGACTCAGTTGGTTGAGCATCCTCCCATGTACCAGGAGTTCACTCATATAATTCCCAGTCAGGGCACATGACCAGGCTGCAAGCTTCGATCCCCAGTAGAGGGTTTGCAGAAGGTAGCCAACTGATGTTTCTCTCTCATGGACATTTCTATCTTCCTCTCCCTATCCCTTCCTCTTTCTGAAACCAATAAAAACATAACAATAATCATAATAATTATTATGATGATGATTAATTAAAATCCCCAGAGCTTGCTTTCTTCATCATCCCAGTAATCCTCATCAAACAACTGCAGAGTGGGGTCCCAGCCTCAGGTTACTGTGCAGAATTTTCTCACAGGATGCAAAATAGGATGTACAAACCTTTTATTAGATACTCTTTCTGTTAAGTGACCGATTCCGAGGGAAGAACCCATCATTTTATGAGTGACCAGTTCGGGGAGGCGGGATGGGCTCAGGGAGTCAAATCCACACAGATGCAGGCCTCTAACGTGCCAAACAAGAGTACAGACCCTATCTCGGCTATTCGCGCGACTCTGGGTGGTGAAAGCAGCCCTTCCCCACCTCACGACTGGCTTTCTCTTTCCCAACGGATGGTGCAGGCCACCCGTCCGAGAGACAGAGCAGGACGCCGCTGGAACGAGGCTGCACATTCAGCCCTGGCCTTTGAACAGTCTGCACCTCACTCCGGAACGCTTTCTCCAGACGCTGCCAGGAGACGCTCGGTAATACTTACAACTCAAATCACCTTCCCCACCCTCCCAGCCAGGGCTTGTCCTTGAGCTCCCCACATGGTGCAAGATGCCCCACGCTGGCCACTGACACAATGGCTCCTTACAAACCCAGAGGGAGCCCTGCCACGCCATGTGCATGGCACACTGCAATGTGGACCTCAACCCAGAACAACGCCCACTGCAGGTGTGCCCAGATAATGACGGGGGCATGTCACACGTCTCAGAAGGAACACATCCTGGCCGGCCCCCTACATTTTTTATCAACGTACACATGGCAGGCCTAGAACTGCGTCTAAAATTAGAACACACGCGTCTCAGACGTGGGACTATCTTGCAGGGACGGAATTACACGGGCCCCTTCAGATCCCTTTCCGACGGCCAAGAAACCTGCCTCTCCGATGAGTGAGAAAACAGTGCTGCCGTCTGGGTGTTCTAGGAACCACTGTGGGTTTATTTAAGTGATTTTAAAATTTTATCTACTGTGACACATGCAAGCCCTCAAAACCAAAGTGTTTTCAGACTCGGCTGCTAGGACGTAGAGAGGCGATTGGCTGGACGATACTCACGCTGAAAAGGTGCCGCGAGGTGATCCGGCCCGAATCTCAGAGGGAACAGGCCTTCGGTGGCCTGCTCTCCCGAGAGCACCTTCTGGGCTGCGAAGTCCTTGGGCTTGAGCACGTACTCCTGGGTCTGGCCGTGACGAATCACCACGTTCTGGGAGGCCAGGGGTGCCACTCTGGGGGGAAACAAAGGGAGGACAGGAAATAAATAATGGGTGTTTTAAGCTGAAACCGGTTTGGCTCAGTGGTAGAGCGACGGCCTGCGGACTGAAGGGTCCCAGGTTCGATTCCGGTCAAGGGCATGTACCTTGGTTGCGGGCACATCCCCGGTAGGGGGTGTGCAGGAGGCAGCTGGTCGATGTTTCTCTCTCATTGACGTTTCTAGCTCTCTATCTTTCTTCCTTCCTCTCTGTAAAAAATTAATTTAAAAAATATATTTAAAAAAAAAAAAGGCAAGTAAGAATAAGAAGTTAGTTCAATGTAGTCAGGAATATAAATTCCATTCCAGGCTCAGTTTTTCCTTCGCCTACTGTAGCTGGATGTTTACAGCATCCAAGGAATTAACAGCTTAGCTTGGGAACCTCCCACACAACAGGGACTCTGCCTGGCCCCTGGAGAAGATTCAGGACCAACAGGCCCCACCGGTGGGTTCTAAGGGAGGATTCAGAGGACAGCTACCGGAAGCCTACATGCAAGACACATGGCATTTGTATGTAATGAAAAGGCATGCATTGGTCAGGCACATGAACAAAAAGGTGTCTTTGCCCTGGCTGGTTTGGCTCAGTGGATAGAGCATCGGCCTGGGGCCTGAAAGGTCCCAGGTTCGATTCCAGTCAAGGGCATGTACGTTGGTTATGGGCACATCCCCAGTGTGCAGGAGACAGCTGATGGATGTTTCTCTCCCATCGATGTTTCTCACTCTCTCCCCCTCTCCCTTCCCCTCTGTAAAAAATCAATAAAATATATTTTTTAAAGGTGTCTTTTATGTACACTGATAAATAAGTAGGCAGTGTTGAAAATGGGATGAGAATAAAAGCGGAATAAAATACAGAAAAAGGGCTACGTAGGAAATCCCAAGATGGAGCAGTTTGGCAAAACTCAACAAGGAGAATCTGTACCGCACACCATGGGCCCTTCCTGGCGCTAAGAAGGGAAGCAGGGCAATCAGGGCGAGCCTCAGTTTCCTGATCTGAACCAGACTCTGCCACACAGGGCTAAGAAATGCTTGTCACCATCAGAACACACAAAACTGAAAAAATATATATATAAACGATCTTTTGAAATATAAGTGATGATGATGACAGGAAAAAAAACAGACACTCGTTCCCATTAGCATGTAAAAATTTTATGCTGTTTCTCATAGTGATTAAAATGGCACTTATTCCGCTTCAATGTTTTATAATGACCGGTTTCTAAGAATAATAAGAATGACTAATCATAATCGCATTATTTCTTCAATATGAGTCAAGGTCTCCGGGGACGCCCGAACACAATTCCTGGGTTTTCACCCTCCTGGTCCAGCCCTTTTATTTCCTGTGACAGTTAGTTCTCTTCTGCTGCGTGTAACGTATACTTTACAATAATAAGCTTCACCCAGCTTTAGTCATTCCCTGGGAGACAGGACTGAAATCATTAGCTAAGTAAGACTAATAAATAATGAAGAATATGGAGAAGATATACCAATGGATTCCAGAAAAGGGCTGAGCTGCTACTAAAATCGTATGGGCAGAGCATTTTAGCAGCAGACGGGGCCTCTGGAAGGAAACTTGCCTGCTCTCTGGTGTAATCTTAAATTTTATTGACTGTGGCACATTAAAGTCAACTAAACTGAACAAAATTTTTCCAAACTAGGATCCTCTCATGGAGGAAAAGGGTTCACAAAGCTATTCTCACACTGATAAGTTACCACAAAACTCTAAAGATTGCCCCAAACGAGGGGCTCTGAGCCAGAGGAAGAAAAGACACCCAGGCAGGTCAGTCAGAAAGGTGAATTGTCCATCCACCAACCACACCACCATCCAGTGTCTCATCAGAAGCAGTACTAAGTCCAAAATAAACTCGGTCTACTTGAGTTATTCCCGTTGGGGCTGATACATGAGCTATTCAGGGGGATAAGGTACCCACGAGAAACAGAGGAAGAAAAAGAAGCTGGGGCCCTCAGCTGGTGAGAGCATCATCCTGATATGCTAAGGTTGCTGGTTCTATCCCCTGTCAAGGTAGATTCATAGATAAACCAATGAACACATCAATAAATGAAACAAGAAATCAGTATGTCTCTCTCTTTGTCCTTTCTTCCCTCTTTCTAAAATTAATCAATCAATTAAAAAAAAAAAAAAAGCTGGGATTGAGGGTTATAGCTTCTGTATTAACCAGTGATTTAGATCTATACCTCCCCCCCTGTTTTTTTGGAGGAATTTCTTTATTCTTCAACAGTTTGTAGAGGGACTTTAAATATAAAAATAACATCCTTGGCGATATGTTCAGCTCATAAATTTTGGGAGCATTTTCATACATAAAAAAATCATAAATGCTACTTAAACACCTACAGCCATTCAAATTGCTTTCAGGAAGTCTCCACTATGATCTGGTTTGGTGTTAAGAAACAGCACTGCCCTGGCTGGTGTGGCTGTTAGTGGGATATCATCCCATCCACCAAAAGGTTGCTGGTTTGATTCCCGGTTAGGGTACGTGCTGGGGTAGATAAAGTTCCTTTTTATTTTTTCTGCTCTGTTAGGCTCAATCACTGCAAGAGCCTCTGGTGGCATGAGAGTTGCCTGAGGTAGGTTCTCAGTGAGTCACTATGTAGGGGCAAGCGGTGTTCACCAGATAACAGGTTCAAACTCATCGTCAGTGCTGGGTCTGAGGCCACTCAGCAAATGTCCCAGGGCACTGCAGGTCTAACTACCACCCGCTGGTCTCGGGGAGTTGTCAGAGTGAAGCCAGCAGATTGTATCAGGCCCTAAAAGACCAAGATTTGCCCATGGGAAGGAAGCTCTACACTGCTTGGGCATGCATGCGAGGTAAAAATGGCCCTCCTGCTCTAGCCAGTTTTCTCAGTGGTTAAAGCATCATCCCATAGACTGAAGGGTAATGGGTTCAATTCCAGGCAAGGGCACATACCTTGATCCCCCAGTTAGCAAGCTCGATCCCTATTCTAGTCGGGCAATCAATTGAGATGTCTCTCTCACATCAATGTTTCTCTGTTTCTCCCCCTCCCTTCCAGTCAAAGGGGGAAGGGGGGAATTGGCCCCCATCTTAGGGTTACACAACTCATTCTGTCCCAGATTCTTTAGGACAGAAGTGGGGAAGGTGGGGGCCCCAGGAGCCTGGAGAATAGAGCTAGCAGATCTCTCTTGAGAGGGAAGTGCCAACCAGGTTTATAGGAAAGAGGAGGGAACAGTCTCTGCCCCAAAGCCACATAAACTCCGTAACTGACAACCCCTGAGACTTCCCAGACCTCTACACTCTGACTCAGGCAGCTGACTCCTCAGCAGAGTGTAAGCTCCACAGGGTGGGGCAACAGGGAGTCCAGAGGATGGAACTATTGTATTTCTCCAAGCTCATGCCCTATGGACGGGAATGCTCACAGTGGTTATTCCCTCGGCTTTCTCCCCAGAGCCACAAACTCCAGTCTTTCTTTTAATAATTCTAGTCCACTCTACCCTCCCTCTCCTGGAGCCCAGGATAAGAGACTGTGAATGAGATTTTGTGCGTTGGCCCTTTTTGAGGGTGCCTGTGTCCCTTGCAGACCCCGTCTCTCCCGGGTAGATAGAATCCCCACTGATTTTCACAGCCAGATGTTATGTGGGTGACACTTCCTGGCTCTGGGCTTGCAGTTGAGACCCCACGATTCTCAGGGGGAACCCCCACAGCGGAGATATCTCTCTGTAATCCCTGCCATGGGAGCAGAGCCAGCCTTTTTTGCATCTCTGCCCCTCCTACCAGTCTCAATGTGACTTCTTCTGTAATTCCTTGGTTGTAAGACTTCTCCTCAGCTAGTCTTCAGTTGGCAGTTTAGTATAATTGCTCTATATTGTAGTTGTAATTCCAGTTTGGATATGAGAGGAAGTGAGTGTAACATCCACCTCCTCCACTGCCATCTTGATCTCTAGATCTGTCACTTTCAATCCTTTAGTCTCAGGAAAATCCATCCTGGGCCTGGATTTTCCCAGACTCAATGCCACAAAGAGCACTCCCCTCCCTTTGTCACAAGATTAATGACTTAAATTACTAAAAGCCTTCACATTGTAAACACTTTTGTTTCAATGATGTAAGTGTTGTTTTGAAATTTAAGTGTGTTTGGTTGGGATGGAATAGAAAGTGAAACAGCTGGATACATCTGGTGGGGCTGATAAGAACCACAAAACTATTCTGTCAACCTCAGGACAATGGGAAGCCCTCCGCCTCACCTCAGGGGCAACTGGAACCCCAGCAATGCTGTCACCTTGTCCCTGTGCCACTAGCACCTGTTGAGAGAAGGGCAGGCTCACACCTGTTCAGAAGAGGACCGTCCAGCATCCCAGGAGACCTTGGGGCTGCTACCACCACTTCCTGCTCCCACCACAGGCAGGTGAATGAAATTGCAAGGTCTTCCTTCTAACTGTGCCTCCCCCCCCCCCACTTTCCTCTCTGAATCAAGGAAGTAAGAGGTAGCAAGAAATGAGCTTATAGCATATTTCCATATGAATTCCTTTCCCCAACACATAACAGAAATGAAATGAGCAAACCGAGAAGATCGAGCTGTATCAGGTCTAGAACTTAAGGACATGAGCAATAAGAAATTACCGGTGTAATGGCACTTAAGTCTTCCTACAGCAAACTACTCTGTAGGTCACAGCACATTATAAATACAGAGCTCCACAAAACTGCGCTTCCCCTCCTCCATCTCATCTTCCCTTTGCCCCCAGTGCAAGGATGCAAACACACAGGCTCATAAAGACACACAGATGCAGAGACTAAAGCCACTCTGCATGACAGCCCCCACATAGAAAGGAGCCAAGCCATGCACAGTGGGCTGGCAGAGGGCAAGTGGAGGAAACTGCCCAATCCCTCAGGCCACGAAGGCCTACACTAACTGTAATCACCACCAACTCTCTCCCTCAAGTCCTCCTTTCACAGTTGATGTCCACCTTCTCCTCTAATTTCATCATTCACTGTTATTTCCATTTTGGACCAG